CCATATGAACCTATATCTACAGCAGTAAATTTATAATTTGCATCTACTAATGCCAAAAGTACATTTTATAATTAACTATCAGATCGAGAGCGGCTCGAAAGTGGCATAGCAGTATGGGTACGGTAAGATTTTACCGAACGGAGACCGGACCGGGACCGAACCGAATAGTGTGGATCTAGTCGTGCAGTAAAATTTTACCAGACCGAGACCGGACCGGGATCGAACCGCTAGTGTGTATCGGGCCTTATCGTACAGATTTTTCACGTTTATCAAATCTTTACTGTATTTTTTAAATTGTAAGCTTGAGGCAGACGCCGATGTAAACAACCAAGATGGCTGCCGAAGTTATATTTTAGCAAATATTGAACGATTTAATTGTTTTTTCAGTGACATTACACCAAACCACACTTCTCCTAACTAGCACAGTATTACAGAAATTAAATTTTTCACAATGTATCACTTTTGAAAGGCGTTAAACATAAACTACGATTTGCATGCAATTGAACGTAAGAAACATTCAAAGATTTAACACATTAATGGTTAGTGAATTTATTTTGAAAAGTATTATCAAATGATATAAATAAAAATATGTAGTTCCATTTAAAAAACAGAATTTGATCTCCGTATCCTTCGAAATAGTAATGTAAAGAAAAATCCGTTTACATGTCTCGTTCTCAGTAATAGTATTGTAGTTATGCTTGTCATGCTTCACATCACAACGTTCAGCGCATATTGAATTTGAATTTGGCGCTCTTCTGTCGCCTAGTTCCCCCTATCTAATCCCCTAGTCTCATATTGTTTCGTTGTGTCGAAGCATCGAGAACGTTTCTCACATAGCGCTCAAAAATAAAGATAAATTGTAACAAGGCCTTATTTAGAAAAATCCCTGACTATAAGAAGAAGAAGCGGTCGAGATCTCGATCACGAGAGGACTATCATTCTAAATACAGAAATGATGAAAAATTCGATCAACTGCAGAAACAGTTAGATAACCTAACAAAAGTGGTAGAAACACTAGCGAATCTACAAAAGGAGCAGAATTCGCCGAGTCTACCTGCAAAAGAAACAATATTAGATATTATAATCGGTAAGTAAAATCACTGATGTAGTTGTCTTGCTCAGTATTCTCATCTTTCGACACGAAGGTTGAGAGGTAATACCCATAGGTCTTACCATAGTCCATACGACTTTAAAAATCAAAGAGATTGCCACGGTCCATACAACCTTGATAAGAATGTTATCGTGATTAAGTTCAACAAGAACGATAATATCACAATTACACAACAAGTGGTACTTAATAATTCAAGGAAAATAAGGAGAATAATCCTAATTTAGACAAAAATGAAGAATTATTAAAAACCTCTGAGCTAGAGACATTAAAGAGTAGTGCTCTGGAGAGATTGGGAATAGATCCCAATGATTCCAAATTCAAGGAAATTAAGTATCATTCAGAGTTAAAGAATACTTCGTTGAAATAGAAAAATGAAGATCTTCCAGAAAAGAATAAAAAGAAAATTCTGGAACTCTATTACCTATAGAAAAGGAGACTTCTACACTGAAGCCCCTAATTTGAATCTAGAGATAAGTCCATTACTTTTAGAAATTGAAAAAAAGAGGGATCAACATTTTATGGAAACGCAGAATTGCGTGGGCACGACCATAGCTACCTTAAGCCGAGTATCCACCTGTATCAAACGCCCGTATCGTATCACCGTTCCGAACCCTTTCGAATAGACAGACGTTGCCACGTTGCATGCCACGGCGTGCTACGGCTCGGACAATATTTCTTCGTTTCTTGATAGAAACGGTTCGGCAATAGGACTGGGCCACTACAGGCGAGGAGTTTCGTTTTGCTGCGTGCCGTTCCAAAGGAACGGAGGCAACGGACCCATCCGAAAAATTTGTCGATTCTTTGCCGTTGTATCGAAGGAAAGGTTTATGGGTTTGCACTTGACATAGCGTTTCATGCCGTCACTTGGGTTTCAATTTATTTGAAATCTTGCAGTATTATTGGATTCATTTCAAAATCGATGAAATTATTTATGAACTTAATCTAATTTAATTTAGACAAATTTTATCGTCTAAATATATTTAAACAGATCAATTATCTTCGGTGATACGCTGTACATAAAAGAGCAATGTTAATAAGAACCTCTGTGATTATTGAAAAAGGACAATGTTAATTATCCAGAGATTTTTCCGTTGCCGAATATCGAAAGTTCTATTGGGCTGTGATACGGAGGTGAAGGAACGGGCCGATCCGAAAATTGTCGGTTTCTTGCTGTTCAAAGGATAGGTTCGGAGACCACTTGAAACGTAAAAACAACATACCCAGGCGAAGGCCCGAAATGCTATGTCAAGTGGAAACATGACACTTGAGGCTCGAGATAATATGATCTGGAATCGGATATATCAGTGAGATAATACTAATGCAATGACTGAACTTTGTTATTTTTCATTTTTTTCTTATAAAACTTTTACCAAGATATTTGTGACGTTTTTCTGATTAAAATGATACCAAACATGATATGGTTAGGACAATTACAATAAAGAAACAGCATGCAGCAAATCGAAACTTCTCGCCTATAGGAGTTTCTTTCAAGAAACGAAGAAATATTGTCCGAGCCGTAGCACGCCGTGGCATGCAACGAGGCAACGTCTGCCTATTCAAAAGGGTTCGGAACGGTGATACGATACGGGCGTTTGATACAGGTGGATACTCGGCTTTAGGTGCTGCACGGTCTCTATGTCAATAGAGGCCCCAGAGGACGGTTTAGACGAGGATACATTCACGGATTATATAAGCCATGTTGGTCAGATTTTAACTGATGTTTCTCATCAACACTCGGTGGCAAGAAAATCCTTTATCACACCACAGTTAAATAAAAGTGTCAAACCAATGGTGGACACGATACTTTCTGATGAATGGCTTTATGGTGATAATCTCAAGGATAAAATCAAAGATGTTAAAGAAATCTAAAAGGCTTGTGCGAATATCAAGGACAAGATCCCACAGAAATATATACCTAAGGCGCGAGAGCAGGGAAATGTGATGTCTCGAGTCCTGACCGTGGTTGAAGAAAAAGTCCTATGTTTACCACACAGGTTGAAAATGTCCAAACCGCTAGATCGGAGGTGCAACGATGTGGATGCGTAATCCCGCACGCAACTGAACGCCTTTAGGTTAAATTACAGCTAAATGGGAAGCATCATTGCGGCTATACGCCGGTATTCCTGGGATAACTGAAGCGTTGAAAGGGTATTGGCAGCCCACATGGAGACCCAGAGTTTTTTGGCGTGGGTGGTACGAGTCCCACATTGTGGGTACGATTGGCCAGAGTTTTCTAGCTCACACATACTAAGCACGCCGCTTGACGTGCTGATATGGGTGCGTGATGACGTGGGGACTAGGCGGGACAGACCAAGTGCTCCCCTTGCCCCTGTGCCGTCCCGCTCTTCAACTTCTCATTTCTGCATAGTACTTTGTTCGATACTGTACCTATGTTAAAACCATGTAGAAAACTTCAAAAACAAATAACTCAGAAATTCTTAAGTATCTGCCCTCGTATGAGGGATGATTTGTAAAGGTGAAAAGATCTACATTTTTTAACATTAAAATTAATGCTCTGAAGCTGAAGTCTTTTCCCTTTGTCACGACTCTGACCACAGTTGTATCAGTAGGTATCAGCGTTTAACGCTTTAATTTATAATCACACTATAACGTTTCCACCAACTATACCTGTAATCTGTAATTGATTCATAACTTTACTGTGTCACTCTTCAATATCGTTTTCCGCAATGTTTTCCTATGTGATTTGCTTAAGCTTTTGAGTGATGATCATTGCTGGCAGTAGTTTAAAGTATAAAGTAACCCATCGTGATTGTGTACCATATTTACATCGTTCAAATTCCATAATCGATATCACGCTCGAACGAAGGACGAGCGTAATCTATTTTTGTTAACTTGCTCCCTTTATCAGCTCGTGAACGATACTACCCTGATGTTTCGAGTGTTGTACGAATTACTTAGTGAAAAAGCTATGAGGTCATGTTTACCGATACAAATAATTACAGTGAGAGACAAAAATAAGTAGACACTGTTCAAAATAGAATACCTCGGTTAAAATTGGACTAAATAACTTGAGGTTTTTTGAGAAGCTATAAAAATTCACTAAAATATGTATTTTCATAATTAAAAAATTACAATTTGTTGAAATCGTGGAAAAAAAATAGTGAATGGTAATTTTTCAACTTTTTTATGTGAGTCTATAATGAAAATTTAAAATATGTCTTTCGTAGATTCAGATAAGTTATATGTATGCTAAAAATTTCCTCGAGATCGGTCAACGCATTTAAAAGTTATAAGTAATTAAAATTTCCGAAAATCGCGACTTTTCATCTAAGAACATACAGGGTCTACCATTTATCACGGAACCTGTGCGCGCATGAACTCATGAATGTGGCAAGAGCGCAACGTTTGGCACGATCAGCGATACTCTGGTCCGAGATTCGATTCGGGATACGAGTATATTTGTCTCTCTGTCGATCACGCCCGAATTTTGCCGAGCCGAGCCGAGCCGAGTCGACTCGAAGTTCCACTGCTCGTCGTGCATACTCGTATCCAGAATCGAATCTCGGACCATGAGTTCGGTCGATTGTCAATTTAACTCTATGGATTTTTACATCACTCTCCACAGCTCTCTACATGACATTATACTTTCACCAATGGTTTGCAGAGGGCGCATCTATCGAATTTTAGCGCTGTTGTCACATTTATGAGTTCGCGTGATCACGGGTTCCGAGGTAAATGGTAGATCCTGTATGTTTTCAATTTTTATAGCTTCTCAAAAAACCTCAAGTTATTTAGTTCAATTTTAACCGCAGTATTCTATTTTGAACAGTGTCTACTTATTTTTGCCTTTCACTGTATATGAAAGAGCACTTTCACTTGTTTGAGGTTAATAAAAGTGAAAGGATATCGTGGAGTTTATTCTCTTTGACCGTCAGAAGAATTCATTTCATGGTTCGTTTCGTTACTTGTTGGACGAAACGACCAAACGTGCGATACAATAATCATAGCTATTTTTTTTTTATTCACGAATTATCTTTCATCACCGAGACCTGCTCGAAGAAAGAAGATTTCAAACCTAACCAACCACGGAGTAGTACTCGCACTCCTGTAAAAAAGAACATTGTTTGACGGTAACACGTCGCACAACATTGTCTCCGAGTCCTCTCGTTAAACATGTATATACTCAATCGTGTGAATCACATTGCAGACAACGGAGAAACGGAGATATTTTTGGAATAAATGAACGGTTGTGTGTTCAAACGATCCATTTCATCCCTCGAAATCGATCCTTTATCATCCGGGAACCGAGTCCTGAATAACAAGGCGATCAGGAAATTTTTCAATCGGGCACCAAAGCTTGTTTGCTTCTTTACGACCAAGACAACTAGGATTTAGCGGTGTCGCTTTGTGCCTTGTCATTTTGAGCTTTTTCGAAGCCGTCGATTAGAGTCTCAATAATGAATTTGATCGTCATCTTGTAAATGTTCTCCACGTTCTCCGAGTATCGATCTTCCAAAGTTTGTTCCACAGCTTCCAGAAATGGTTTCTCAATTTTCTGAAAATCAAATTTATACAAATATTAAATGTGGATATAAATAAAGCAGATTCATAAATAAAATCAACATTAATGTTATAACAATAATGCTAAACATTATTTTATATCATGTTTAAGTTGCTAATTATTCCTAATATGGAATACTTTTGAATGCACATTTTACCTATTTACAATGTTTTTATGAAATTTAAATATGTTTTAGACTATTTTGTCTGGTAATAGCTAAATTTAAAATATAATAGTTGTCGTCTGTTGTACACCGTAAATTAACTTAGTTACTATGAAAAAAAAGTATCATCTGTTCCTGTAATTAAATGACTACAGAATTTAATTTATATACATGCAATTAAGTGCAATCCTCGTTGTAAAATGTCGATTGAAATGACAGCACAAACTTATAGGTACATCAACCTAAAATATAGTACATTTTTAAACAATGATTATGGTTTATCTTATACCTATTAAATAATACATTGATGTGAACATAGAGGAAATTTACGTGACATGTATCTTTTAAATTCTTTCTTTAGTTCTCAGGTATAGATAAGTACAGTACTGCACAAAAGTTTAAAATGACTGCTTTCTAGATAAATTATTGCACTATATCACAGATACTAAACAGTTAACAATTTATAGTTAGAGAAGAGTTGGGCTGGTATCGGACCGGGCGTGTTTTGAGGATTTATTAACAGATACGAAAGAAAAGAATTAGCCTGTCAAAGGTTTCCTTTCGGGATTGTCTGCCAGACATATCAATAGGGCTGACGAGAGGCAATCTCTGATTCAAAATCACCCCAGCAACCCCCCATTTCCGGGTGTTACGCGAGTTCGGGGACACTGTATACCCGAATCGCATACCGGGCGATTGCCAGCGAGAACAGTACCGATCCCGCAGCCACCTGGCGGTCGCCGGTTCGTGCTAAGGGTGTCCGGGGAGACCAGCACTCTCCACCTCCACTAAATCGCCTGCATTAGTTAGTCCAGGACTTCTTAACCCTTTGGAGGGCACATTTTTTTCCGAACAAATTATTGAACTCAAAGGCTATCCGGCGGTTTTTGGAATCGTTGATTACGATTCTGACGTCAGAATTGCAAAATTCAATTTTTGGAAAATTAAATCATTTTTTTCGACAAAAAATATGTTATTGTACTAAGTATAGAATACACAAATTTTCAGAGCTGTAGGACTTTTCGTTCAAAAATAACCGAATTTATTCTGAAAAAAAACGAGTATTTTGTGTTTTAATTATTTACAACTAATTATAAGTAAACACATTTATACAGCTTTCCTTGAAAATTATATAACTTGGAACCCCTAGAGTCTGTTACGTATTCGTCTCGGAAATTTCCTTATATGGTGTTACAAACTCTTCTCAAAAATTTCCTTATATGGAATCGGATGTGCGCACCGGGCACCAACCGTCTTCTGGAAAATTCGAGACCAACGCAAAGCAAGGGTGCGGTCCTGCGGGTCACGTAGAGTCCGTCCCCACCACTCTTTTTACTCCAATTTTTGGGTATAAAAAGGGTGGCGGCAAAGGCACCTCGGGTCTAGTTGAAGTCTAGAATCAGTTTGATACACGTCAGTACGTTTCTCTTACGGATAATCTCTGCAACAAGGAAACTCTGCGAGATCGGGTATTCAAGTCTCTTTCAAGCACTCAGTAACTATACAGTACGTTGTCTGCTGTTAAGCATTATTCTGATCGTTGTAGTCCGCCCCTGTTTGCTCGTGTTGGTGAAAACCGAGGAGGATTAGATTCTTGCTTCGCGTAATCGAAACTAAACTTTTTATTATTCAACTCATTTAAACTTGCAACTTAGAGTTTAATTCATTGAACACCGCGACAATTACACGCAACAATTGTAAGGACCCGGCATAGAGAATAAACTCATATTATTTTAACTTATCTACTATTGTCCAATTATATTGACTGGTCCAGAAACCCACTAAGGTATACCTTTACCGCTCGAGGTACATCAATCAAATTACGAGACCTAATACTAACATTTCCTGCGGCTCCCTACGTTACCCATACGTAGGTTCGTCCTCACATCTTCACCTTTCCTGTGGCTTCCTACGTTAGCCATACGTAGGTTCGTCTACTATAACCAACCTCCTGGAGCTCTCTACGTTAGCCATACGTAGGTACGTCTCCACGTCTACTTTCTTAGGCTCTCAGTGTTAATAACAACACTGGTCAAACCATTAACAAATACCATAACCGAGATTAAGCCCAGGCTACGCAGCCGCCCTCTGCGGCTCGTAACAAGTCTAAAAAGTACTCACATATTGAAAAAGTCTACAAATGAATTCCGAATTAAAGAAAAACCTAAAAACAAAAAGGTGGTACAAATACGTACTACTACCCCCCCAAAAGGTTAAACTTTTCCACTTGGCGACTCCCTTTACCCGAACAAATATTTTCGCGACCCCCCGCATATAGTTATATACAGAGTGCGTTTCAAAACTAGTAGGACTGATTTTTGATATTCCGAGCGCGGTGTAGAAACAAAGTCTCTATGGGTGGGAATTGTGGTGGGGGGTGTCGCGAAGGGAATGCGTGCTTACATAGTCGCCTCTAAACGTTTGGATAGTAAATATCGCCAAAACAGTGAGACTCTGTTTACACATCTCGACACAAGTCAAGATGAACCATACACTCGAGCAGCGCTACGCGCCACTTGGCAAAACTGTGAACGCACAATTTTACGTGGAACTGCTCGAACGACTACGGAAAAGAGTCCTCCGCGTGAGACCAGCGATGTCCAACACTTGGAAATTGCATCATGACAACGCGCCGTGCCACACCGCACTGTTGGTACGGGAGTGGTAGGCCAAACACAATTTGACAACATTACCTCATCCACCTTGCAGCCCTACAACTGACTTTTTCCTTTTTCCCCGATTAGGCCCGATACACACTAGCGGTTCGGTCCCAGTCCGTTCTCGGTCCGGTAAAATATACTCCAATGTAAATCTTATGAGAGCATACACACTTGCCAGCTCCGGTCCGGTCACGCTCCAATCTTACGACGATCTCGCTTCGATCCCAGCCCGGTCCCAATCGCTCTCGAACAGTAGCCACTTGAGCCACTTGTTCGGTTCGCTCCCGGTCCGATCCCGGTCCGGTAAAATATACTCCAATGTAAATCTTATGAGAGCATACACACTATGCGTCCGCTCCAGCTCCGGTTCGATCACGCTCCAGTCCCGGTCCGGTCTCGATTTCTCACGAAGAATATTTTCCTGGGATGGGACTGCGCTCCCTCGTTTGAAACGCTTCAGCTTGTACATTTCCATCTTGTAGTGGCATTTTCAGGATTAGCTATGAGTTTTCTACAATAAACTTTGAAGGTTTGTGATAAAATCCCAAATGCATACTCGACTAATTTTCTTCCTTTACATAATCGATAATTAAATATTTTTTTTTTAATATCTTCTATACTTCTTGATCCTAGATAAGGCCGCATTAAATATTTCTTTAATGGAAATTGTTTAATATCATTATTTTTTAACCGACTTTGAAAAAGGAGGAGGTTACTCAATTCGATCAGTATATATATATTTTTTTTTTTCCATATGAACCTATATCTACAGCAGTAAATTTATAATTTGCATCTACTAATGCCAAAAGTACAATCGAAAAAGACTTTTTATAATTGACTATCAGATCGAGAGCGGCTCGAAAGTGGCATAGCAGTATGGGTACGGTAAGATTTTACCGAACGGAGACCGGACCGGGACCGAACCGAATAGTGTGGATCTAGTCGTACGGTAAGATTTTACCGAACCGAGACCGGACCGGGACCGAACCGCCATAGTGTGGATCTAGTCGTGCAGTAAGATTTTACCAGACCGAGACCGGACCGGGACCGAACCGCTAGTGTGTATCGGGCCTTAAAAAGGCAGATGGAAGGACGTCGTTTTGACACAATTGAGGCAGTGCAAGAGACCGTAACGCGTGGATTGAGGAGCATCCCGGTTGAAAATTTCCAGCAGGCGTATGCGGACTGGCAGACTCGCTATACTAAATGTATTAATTCACGAGGGTGTTATTTCGAAGAATATTAACGACTTGTACGAATATCTGCAATGTTTTGATCAAGTCAGTCCTACTACTTTTGAAACGCACCCTATAAATTAGGAATACGAATTAAAACATTTGCTGATAATAAATCGTAAAGAAAATTTATAAATGATAATTTTCGGTTGTTGCACGTCCAGGAATTTTTAAATTTTGCTAAAATTTCTACGATCCCCAAAAGTTACACTTTAAGAAGCACCGAGTTACTCTGTTGTGTTGTGCGGCTTTTAAACTGTTCTGTCCTCTTCTCTTGAAGGCAGATATTCACTTACGCACTATCGGTGATCACTAATACGATCTATAAATTAACAATTATTTCTGATAAAGTAAGAACAAAGTATTTTTTCTAAAAAACAAGTTTAAAAATTTTTTAATACGTTTTAAGCTTCTTGCAATTATTTAAACAGTTTTTTCACGTTAAGATCACTATTTATACCATTTGTTAGTATTTTCAACGATTTTTGAAGAAGAAATGAAAAGCGATCGAAATCTTAAGTGCATTTGTTCATTTAAACCGAAAATAAGTAACAATAAAAAACTGTGTTTTAAATAGGGAATATTCCCTGCATGTTTGTCGTTTTATAATTCTGTGACTTTCCAAATTCAGGATCTTTCTTCGTCAGTTGCAGAAATAAAAAATTATATCTTCTTCAGTTCGATGTATAAGATAAAAAGTTGTTATTTTCTGATGATTTCAATAATTTCAATAAAAGAATGTGTAAAAGCAATCAATTCAATGCTACGAAAATTTAGTACAGTAATTAAAAATACGGGTTATTGCACACAACATTATGTTTTTATATTTCTATTTCTTATACTAATGCACATAGTGTTTTTAAATATGTATAATTTGAAAGTAATGTTCATAACAAATAGAGCTTCAAAGGTTTCATTCTCATTTCATTTAAAGATGGTAATGTTAATCACAAGTGAAAGTGAGTGCATGTATGGTTTTTCAAAATAACTACAAATTATTAGATATTTAATGACTGTAATGTAATGCGATAATCCATAAAAAAGTAGTAATGTTAAACTTTTATCCACTACTGTACGTGTCTCTTTTAGTTTTAGTAACAGTAGAATGTGTTCCGACCCCTCCGGCGATCTCCGAAATCGTCTGCACTGATATTTCGAGGGTAGGATGCAACAAAACTATGAAGAGAATATCTGAGACACGAGAAAACTACCACAGAGACATCAAAGAACCTTTTATACCATCGTTGACGGAAAATCGTTGAGCACGAGAAGTAAAAAGAATGAGAAATATTTTACACAGAATTTGTGATTTTAATCGAGCATTCTTTCGAATAAAGAATGTTCTCCTATGTTCCATCAAGCTTGTTTGTACTTTTTAACTCTGTTCTTTTTTATCCTAATGTAGTATAATAGATAACACATTCGAATTTCCATGTAAACAATGCATATAAACATAAAATGATAATCGTTTAATTTATTTATGCATGTTAATAGCTATGTTAACACCATAAAATTAAAAGAGTTATAGCGCATTACCGAGATAGTTCCGATAATGTATTTAGAATGAATTACATATTATACAGAGTGTTCGACAATAAGTGGGACAAGTTTTATAGGATGATTCTGGGGCTCCAAATAAGACAAAAATGAATAATGACGAAATAGCGTTCACGGTTTTGTTTTTTAGTTATTAACGTTAAAAGATTCGCGTAAAAAGCGTCTAAAACCGGCAATTTACACAGCACCGATGATTGACCATAGTGTCAGTAAAGGCGTGTACAATCATAGGTAACAGTCATTGAATACTAGTTCAAGTGCTAACAAATCGTTGCTTAGCATTAAACCCTTTTTTCGTTTTTTAATTTAAGAGGTTATTTAGGAGGTTATAACGCACACTGTACTCACTAAAATTAATACAGGATTGTTAACTGTTCGTACGTCATATTAAATATTACAGCACCGAGAAACAGAATAGCACATGTTGGACTTCTACATGTAGTATTCAATGACTGTTGCCTATGACTGTACACGCCCTTTCTGACACGATATTCAATCGTCGGTGCTGTGCGGATTGTCGGTTTTAAGCGCTTTACACTCGAATCTTTTAACGTTTATAACTAAAAAACAAAGCCGTGAATGCTATTTTATCATTCTTAATTTTCATCTTATTTTGACCTCCAGAATCATCTCTTCAAATTTGTCCCACCTGTTGCCAAACATCATGTATATGTTAAAATAAAAGCGTAAAGTGTAGTAAATGTATAGACTTAAATTTTTGCAGTGCGTCCCAACAGAGGATATCATGCTACACTTCAAAAGGGGACAGTTTGGAGGGGGGAGTCTTTAGGAAAAGGGGAAGTGACTTAAAGCTACCATCTCCAAACTGAAGCCCTGGGAAGGTGCTGCTCTACAAACATTTGAAAAGTAGCAATTCCTAAAACTCAAAAAGATGGTAATTGTTAACCCCCCGCTTGAAAAAGCAAAGACTGTTTTTGCTATGCTGGAAGAACAAAAACCAGGGGTCCGCACCACGTGCAGGGTGTGAAGTAGGATAGAGGGACCGAAACCGGTCACTTTCATTCTGGAGATAGACTTCAAGTCATAAAGTGTCTCCAATAAGAAATTCGAGGTTTACGTAGTCCTACGTAAAAATCTTTCCTCACAGGAACTAGTTGGATCAACAGTACCACCCACCAGCCGGAAGAGAGAGGGAAAGAAGAATTCGGAGCCCTTAGCCCACGTATCGACTCCTTTTCCAGACCTGGGCAAAGAAGCCTAGGCTGTAGTTCCGAATACGACCGGTCGCCGATCAAGATGAAATTTGGAGGGTTGGTTGGGAGCAGGTAGACAACCCCAAATATAAAGTGGTATCTTCGGCTTCCTATTAGTTTCCGAGATATTAATTAAAAACTTTCGTACAATACATAGAATTTTTCCTATACAGACGTAACTAACACTACCGTCTTCGCTGTAGCAACCGTCATCGTGAAGTGTCGAACAGCCGTTCACACCATAGCAATATCGTCTTCCGTTTCTATAAGGTGTACCATGTAAAATCCATTTTTTTAGTTACATTACGTTATGTTTTATATTGTATTACTAATTCTCAAGGAATTAAACACATTTGATTTATACGTTGGTTAGGTTAGGCTAGATAAATTTCCAGCCGCCGGGAGGCGACCGGCAACGCTACAACAGTCGTCGTATCTCTAAAGTTTTGAATAGGACACCCTATAGGTATACGCTGACTATACGCTGTGTCAACGGCTGTTCGGCACTTGACGATATCAGCTTACTACAGCGAAGACGGTTGTGTTAGTTACGTCTGTATAGGAAAAATTCTATGTATTGTACGAAAGTTTTTAATTAATAACTCAGAAACTAATAGGAAGCCGAAGATACCTCCCCCCTTAAAATTTCATCTTGATCGGCGACCGGTCGTATTCGGAACTTCATCCGAAGCCTATTCCATCGACTATCATTCATCAAACGAGTCTCGGACCTTCACACCTCAACATCCATCGAGAGGGAGCCACCCGAGGACCACTATAGTAAAAGTTGGATAATTACCCGAAAATCGGGACCGAAAACGAGCACTTATGTAGCGGAGCTGTCTTTTCGATTTTTAGAAACGGCTAAAGTCGAGCGTTTGAATGTGTCGAACTTAGAAAAGGACAGAAAGCGAAAGAGAAAGAGGTCTGATAATCAGAGGGACCGAGAGAAACATATTGGTGAGGCAATACTAATTCAACAATAAAAATTTTGTATTCTTTATTTTTGCCAAATAAAACTTTTACTAATGTAATTGTGAGGTTCTTCTAATTAAAATGAAATCAAACACCATATTTACTGTATATTTTGTTATTCATAATAATGATACATAATAAGTTGTTGCAAGTAAATGTGTTTGATATCATTTTAATCAGAAAAATTCCACAAATTTGTTAGTAAAAGTTATGTAAAAAGAAAATTAAAAATAGAAAAGTTAGCATCATCTTGGTATTTAGAAGAATTTAATACGCTTTTGATCTTTGCCGTTTGTCGCGATCGCGGCTTCTTTCTTTTTTAATCATTCGCTATCTTTCCCCGTGTTCGAAACTTATTATCGTCAATTTAACCAGTAAATATAGTCCAAATTATATCGTGTGTAGCATCATTTTAATCAGAAAAATGTCAGAAATATCCTGGTAAAAGTTTTATAGGAAAGAAATGAAAAATAATAAAGTTAGGTCGTTGCATTAGTATTACCTCACTGATATATCTAATCCCAAATCATGTTATACTACTCGGCGCGGCGTCTCAAGGGGTATATTCCCCGGCGGTGGGGATGATCAGTTCTTCGCAATTATTGTACAAATCTTTTTCGCAATTATCGAATCTTTACTGTATTGTTTAAAATTTATTTAATACCTAAATGTGATCTGAAGTGTTTTCCCTTTTTAAGATAATACAGTGATATCCGAGGTATACGACCTTAATCCGTTCCTGATGTTTGGACTTATACCGAATAGGACGTATACCAAGTCAACCTTTCCCATAAGAAGTAATGTAAAAATGATTAATCCGTTCTCATGTAAAAAAAAACTCCTATTGATATTATACCTACATTAATAGGGTTGTAACATAATTTAAACGCTGTTTATGTCATAAACAGCATTTAAACGATTTCCTAGAGGTTTATAAAAAATATTTACTAGTTTATTTAACATAATTACTTTGTAAAATATAAATGTAACTTAATGATAGATTCTAAATTAACAAACCAAATAGAATAAACTTTATTGCCACCTGTTTTGTAGTTATATTTTGTTATATGATATTCTTATTTGTATGATCAGTCAGTTAATAATACATCAACTCCGAATATAATTTTTCCTCTGAGATAATTATTTAAAAATGACGCAAAATTCACAGAAAAAATTTATGTCGTATACCGAGCAAAATTTGTCATGTCCAAACAGGACGTATTCCGAATTGGACGTATACCGAGGTACCATTGTAAGTAAATGTTTCAAGTTATACCGTATTTGGTCTTGTTTTAATCAGAAGAACCTCATAATTATATTAGTAAAAGTTTCTTTGAAACAAAATCAAAAATTAAAAAGTTTTGTTGCTGCGTTAGTATTGTCTCATCGATATTCCAGTGCAGATCAGATTACGCTATTCGTTTATCCAGCTTCGCAGTTTTTCAAGAGGGGTCCCCCTAGGTAGTGGGGATGATTATCGAGTAGTTGTTATTCAATGGATCTGCCCGGGTTCTTATCCAACTTTTACTGTACATCCAGAGGCAGACCAACAAAGGCGGAGGTCATGCGGAAAATCGATCTCACTGGGAACCAAAAAGACAGACAAACTACCGTATTTGGTGCTCAAGGAAGCCCTGTGAAGGCATCATTCACACGGTTTAGCTTGAATTCTACGCGCGCTCAAATTGGACAGTACTTTTCGTTAATAATTCGAAACTTAAGTCTTAGCCAACATTTTGGCAATGAAAAAGGTTATTCAGAATCACCTCAACAATCACTACTTTATTGGTTCTAGTACTCTTTTTGGAACTCTCTGTATACCTTTGGTTTCGCTTACTTTTTATGAACTCACCCAAAAATATTGTGGATTGAAACCCGGAATCTTTGTATGCGTGGCTCCAACTTGATGAAGGCAAGTCAGGAAGACGTCCATATCGTCGAGCCCTTTGATACATTCATCCAGGGCAGACATCACTGTTTCTGCATGTTTCGCCAGTTCCATGCTATTGGACTGCTGTTCTTTCGTTTTCAATTCACGAAATTGTGTAAACATATTTAACAGTTCGGCATTTTCCTCGAACAACCTGAAAACACGCATATAAAAATAAAGGTAATACAATATAATATTTATGTTATTATTAAGATAATACTGCGAACGCTTATTCACTAGTATACGTGAAATTTTATGTGTGTATAGAGTAATTCAAAAGAAGTATAATGATATGCCTTATTTGTGTTAAAATGTCCATTAAAGGTATGAAATCAAACTTCAAAATCAAATGAGCACTCCCATTTCTTCACATACATTTTGCTGATATCAGATAAAGAATTAGGTACTCAAGAAGCCCTCGAGTTGAGTTTTTAACCGACTTCAAGATCTATCAGGGGATATATCCTAATTTTGGTTCTATGGGCGGTGATACATGGAACTACAGCCTTTAAGTCTACCAGCGGGAGGATCACTTTCATATGTTTCAAACAAATGTCAAATGTGCTTAATTTGGTATCGAGACCATAATCTATAAGCTACTAATCGTCGCTAATTACGATATTTGTTGGATTATCTGGAAATAATCAAGTAACAAAAACAAGTCCAGTGTCGAAGGATACGGACAGTGTCTTGGTTTATTTCAACAGTCTTTAGATTGGGGACCGATGGGTCCATAAAGTTTTCCAGGCATGGCTTGAGCAATAAAACTCCGGGCATTTCTATATTTAGTTTTCTCAAGTGGACCCAATAAGGGTTTTTTCACTGTAGACTCTTCACTTCAGCATTAGTTTTCGAACTGTGCAGACGTCTTCGGAGTGTTCATTGAGAAATAAATTCATTTTTGGGTATTAAAAATTGTGTAATTATTTTAGTTTAATACCCATTTCCAATAATATTATTCCTGATATTAGTAATAACATTACAAATAATAACAAATGTACTATTATTGTATTGATACAAACATTATTAACACGTTGACTGCCACGTTGGTCACCCATGATCGAAATTTGTTTTCTCGGGGGGGCCATAATGGTCATCAGTAACAAAAAATTCTATATCAAAAACTCTATCTCTATATTGATCCTCAGGGCAAAACATATAAAACTCGCGTGGCAGCTGATCAGCCCAATTTTTACTCGTAAGATAGCTGCTCGTTTTTTGAACAATATCTATACATAAGCGTTTATTGTAGTGGATCAATGCAATTAATTGGTAAATAGATTCTTTAATTCTAAAGCAGTTTGAGCATAGTATAAGTCAACTAGTAAAAAAATGAAAAGTAGGGGCAAATTTAATCTACTAAAGATTAAACTTGTTTATGTAATAAGGTTTGTCGAAAAATACGTTAGTACTTTTGAAATGATTTGATAAATATAAAAAAACATGAAAACTCTGTTTCCTCCATAACTTACAATTACTCACATTTATACGTTTAATGAAAAGGGAAGTGCGTTGCAATTTTATCGAAACAAGGAAAAGTACTTGAATTCTTCTGACGTAAATCTACTTGCCCTTTAGGGGTTAAAGCTTTTAAGATAAAACGATATGTACTCCTAAAACTTTCTGAAACCTTATCCGCGACAACTGCAGGGTCTGCCTTTCAAATATATCAGATTTTTTCTAGAATTTGTTTATTATGCTGTTATTCCATAATCATGCCTTTTCATATTTTTAAATTTACTAACGAAAATAGAAGGTTGAAATGTGCATTGCCATTATTTCAACTTAATTTGCATTATACAAAATATGCAAAGTAAAGAATATATTTTTAGAACTGTTTAATAATAACACAAATTTCTGCTTGGATTTTATTTTGTTATCTATTTTCTACAAAAATATGCATCTGTGTGAACATCTTTAATCTACTAATGAGTATTTAAAGCGTTTACAAAATGAGAAATTGCCATTATGTCGAAACCTACACTTCTATTCATCCGAGTTCTTTCAATTAAGGCTGACATTCATAAATCAATCCTTTTCAAAAGTAATGATTTCAACACCAGTGCTCAAGAACCTCATTACTTTAACGAACTTTTCATTGTTTGTCGTCAAGTATAAGTAATCTTATTATTTAACAGGAGGTGAATTTCTTAATTATAATTTATATGGTCAAAAACGTGAATTAAGAATCTTGATAGGGCATGGGGTTGTTCCACCCTCAAAAGAGCGAAATACGCTTCGTTGATTTCTTTTTTTTCGGAGGGCGATGAATGGAGGAAATAGAATAAAGCAAATACTGCTCTTAAAAGTAATAGATCGTATTAAACAACAGGTGAAGTGATAATAAGCAGGAATAAAGGAATACTTATACGGTGAAACCGAGAAAAATATCGTTCTAATTCATCTTAATATTCACTTTCAGCGTTAAATTATTTTTAATAAAAAAAGAATTGAGTGGAGTACAATTTATTCCAGATAATATTTCTTATATTTACATCACTGAATGCATGGAATTACGTTTTATAACAGACGAAGTGTTTCATTTAATTCTTGAGCAGTGGAGCCTGGATCAATCATGATCCAAACTTATAAAATATTAAATTAAATTTAAGTATATAATTTTTAAGCGGACGGATTCACATATTAGAAGAATAATGTAAAATTTAGAGAAAGAGATAATAATGTGAAATGCAAAATTACATTAAAATTGTGACTCTCTCTGTGGTCCGCCGTCTGAGGATTAAAACAGGTCACCTAATTCATATTAGCGTAAAAGAACATGGGTGATCTTGAAAAAGAAACGCTAAAATGTGATATTTATAAAACAATATTCCGCCATCTAAATGCCTTTTGAAACAATTGAAATTTTGTAAAAAATATTTCTGGTAGGTATTATAACAAATAGAAAAGATATTTAGATGGTCTTTATTAAGCAAAACACACTGTATAGTTTGGGACAAAATAGCACACCCACAAAAGTGTTTTTTATTTTATGAGCAAAAGTACTGACACAGGTAGCTCTTAATTATATAATTATGTATAAATCTAAAAAACAATATAATGTTTGGTTGATTTCTTTAACAATTATAATTGTTCAGGAATATTGAGTAGGTAAGGAATATTGACCGACAGTGTCATAAACCATTCGTGAGGAGGCAAAGTTTTACTCTTCACCTCCACCTTGAGCGATCAACAGCGGGGTAAAGGAGAGACGACGGGTCCTCTAGGGGTCTTTTTGCGTGGCCTAGGGCAGAGACAAAAGTTAGTCGTCAGGAACAGTTGTCTTCTGTTTTACTGGCGTAAAGCGCCTGGTATAGACGGTAACCCACTCAGGTTAGTTTTTTCAGCCCAAAATCAAAATTCCTTACACCGATGAAGTCAAGTGTTGGGTCTTCCGGATCCGAACACAATGATTGGCAAGTCCCATGCGTAGGCAATTTATTTATACCCGGCACCACTTGGAGAGTGGTGGCTGCTGGGGGGTGGATAGTTATTTAGCGCTATAGCGCCCTTTACCACCGCCGGTATAAGCGAAAGCTTGGGTATGTCAAAGCGGGTTATCAACCTCACAAGGCTCAGTTAAACAATCACCTGACTTCCATTTTACGAAAACGACAAATCGTGGTTTGACCGCTGGATACGACATAACAGTCGACATTGTCAATATATCCAGAAAAGACAGTCCCTTATTAGTCACGCACCAAATAAATCATACAGTCCACAGTTTGATAAACTTTCTGGCTTGTACCTCATTTCCTTCTTCAACCCGTTCACGAACTCTCGAGTGTTTGGATGCTTACGATAATTATCAAATTTATGATTTTCGAGTATTGTACATATTTGCATTCTACTAATTGTTCAATAAAGGAAAACAATGAAATATACATTAAGTACTATTTTTATTGCAGCATAAGGATTATTACATTTAAGTTTACTTTTTTCTATTGGTAAATTAAAATAAAATATTTATAATGTTAAAACAACAGTGTGATGTACAGCATCATCGAAAGGGGAAAATTTCTTTACGGCAGTGTAAGGTAGGTACGACTGTAACCCAATCACGTGCGTGAACGCGTGGATTACTGCGCACATTTAGTTAGAATAGAATCAGAACTGCGGCCGTAACACATGTTTTTGTATCCTATTCTTAGTAATAAAACTGTTAACTGGCAGTGTATATCAGTTCTTAGAATTCTACGCTACACTGACCTTATTCTTGTAAACTGTCTGGGTTTGATATCGTTCCATTGTTTATTATCCAGTCAATTATGTTTAGAAGAAAACGTTGAAACGGACAAACTGGCACACAATATGCAAGAAACGAGCTTTTCAAACGTAAAATTAAATTTACTTGTTTCTCTCTCAAGCTAGCTGATATAGTCGGTCTTTGTCCGGGATCAAATTAGTTTCGCATATAATTCGAATCTGTTCGTTGATAAAAAGATGGCGAACGGGATAGCACATGGGAAAGAAGGATACTATACAGGGTGTTCGACAACAGGTGGGCAAAATTTTAAGGGGTGATTCTAGGGATCAAAATAAGACGAAAATCAAGAATAACGAAATAGCGTTTGCAGCTTTGTTTTACAGTAATTTACGTTTAAAAATTTGAGTTAAAAGCGCCTGAAATCTGCAATCCGCCCAGCACCGACGACTGAACGTCAGGTCAGCAGGGGAAGGTACAGTCATAACCAAGAATCGTTGAATAGTAGAAACTTACCTCGTGCTATTCTGTTTCTCGATACTACAGCATTCGGCTTCGATTCTTGGTTATGACTGTACCGACCCCTGCTGACCTGACGTTCAGTCGTTGGTGCTGGGCGGATTACACGTTTCAGGTGCTTTTTACTCGAATTTTTGAACATTAATTACTGGAAAACAAAGCCGCAAACGCTATTTCGTTATTCTTGATTTTTGTCTTATTTTGATTCCTAGAATCACCCCTTAAAATTTTGCCCACCTGTTGTCGAACACCCTGTATATACATACTGCCGGCTGTTTTGTTTTATACAAGTGGACGGCACAGGGGCAAAAGGAGGTACTATTCACACATCGACTGACTTCCTAATTTTTCACGAGCCTAATTAGTAGATATGACTACTTCCACCAATTGCATTCCTTTACCTCGCCAACAAGTCATCTCCCTGTAGCACT